TCTCTCCCCATCACACCCTGGGGTCATCCATCCCCAGCTCAGGGCCAGGGCTCTCACCCCAGGTGCTTGTTCTGAGGTGGTGCTGACGCAGATCTGGTGACTTATGAGCCCCGATCAACCTCTGCAGAGGGGATGACTCCTTGGGGAAGGTTCTCCCATCCCAGGCCCCCCCTTCTCAGAGGCTTGCATCTTTTACCGCAGAGGCTTCATTTTTATCCTCTGGGGGGTGGGGGGCACCAGGTTGTCCCATTCTCTGCTCCCCAGGATAGTAGATAGGGGCTGATGGTGGGGTCATCATGGCAATAGGCAAGCTGGGGGGTCCCTATGAGCCTGGAGTGTGGCAGGAAGTGACGGCCTCGGCTCTGGCTGAAAATTGCTCCCAGGATTATATCAGAAGGATGGGAATGTGCTGATGCCTAGTACTACAGATGTCAAAAGATCCTTGCTAGGAAAGTTTATTGAGTCAGGAGCAAAGAATTCCAAAATGCTTCTAATGTGGAAAAACCAGTCACCTACAAGGGGAGGTGAATCATACTGGCATCACTGTTAGCAACAATGGCTGCCTTTAAAATTCTGAGGAAAATGGTTTTTAACCTAGAATTTTATATTGAGCCAAACTACCATTCCAGATATGGAAAGGCTGAGAAAATTTGCCTCCTTGTATTTTTTTTTTTTGAAGTTATTTAAGGATGTGCTAAGGCAAAATTAAGGTGTAAAACAAGAGAGCCAGGAAGGAAATAGAGCATCCACTCCAGGTAAACAGCTGAGTCCCAGGATGTTAACAGTACAGAGGCCTGCAGCCAGTCCACACAGTGGCAAGAGGATAGGTCCTGGGCAGCAGATCTCTGAAATAAAGAAAATCTGATAGGACAGTGGACGAGATGTAGAGGATGATGAAAACTAAGACCATGATAAAAGCAAAGACTACAAGGAAAAGGCAACTAGAAACTCCAGGAAAAACAAAAAGCTATGTGAGAAAGAAACGGTAAGCGTGGTAACCTTCCTGACTCTCCAGGGAATGGTAGTTATGTAGTCACAATAATGTAAATCCTGTTTATTGACTTTCAACTTTTAGAATCAACACATAGAGAAACTTTAGAAAACATAATTGTGGTTATGCGACAATGTAAATGTCACCAACCTTGATAGTTAAAAAAATTAAAATACAGGTTATCATCTTGGGAGGTGGAAGGCAGAGAAGAAAGCAGAAGAGAAAGGTAAGGGCACTAAACACTTCATCTCACTATGTGGGGTGTCAAAAGACACTGCCCCATTTTATCAACTTTTTAAGTTGATAAAAATAAAGCTATAAGTATATGAAGCTTACAAAGGCATCAGCAGATCTAAAAACAATGTTGGGAGGATGGGGGAGGGTGGGGCTATTAGAGCAGGAAGGTGGTAATGTCTAGAACTGATAAACCAAGAAAGCCTGTGAGCTTGTAGAGCGATAAGAAGGTAAGCAGCCAAAAAACAAAGGAAAATTCAAATGAAATAACTGTGGTTGCTCTGAGGAGTCGGACTGGGGGTGTGGTGCAGGGGGCTCTTGCTTTTCATCACCAGATAAGCTCTTCAGTACTACTGAACCACGTGCATGTATATATTCCTTTGATAAAGTTAAAAGAAAATGTTGAGCCCCAGCTATGGGCCAGGCATTGTGCTAAGGGCTGAGGACAAGCGATGACACACACAGTCCCTGCCCCCTTGGAGCTTTCAAGCCCACGGCCATGACCACTGGAGACCCTCCAATCTCTATTTCTTACTCCTACTTTTCCTGAGCGCTAGACTCAAGCTACAGTCACCGATTATACATTTCCCCGAAGGGGCCCTCAACTTCACCTTGTCCAAAACACTGCAGATCCCTTGTCAGAGCCTGAGCTGTCTCTTCTCTCTGGACTTCCCTTGTTTTTCTGTTGTGATGATGCTCAGGGCTCACCTCTTCCTGGAGACCTTCCAGCCTCCACCTCTTGGCCCTGAGCTAGGGTCTTCTCCAGTCACCCCACCCCGACCCTGACGACCTTGATCTCAGTGCATGGACTCTTGCTGACCCTCAATTAGAGGTGGGCAGGGAGTGTGGGTTACTCGCTTTGCATCTCTGATCCCTTGTACAGAGTCTGGCACATGGCAAATGCTCAGCAAAAGTCTGTCCAAAGAAATGAATTACTTATCCCTCTCACCCTGCAAACCCTGTGGTTTATCCTCCATTTCTTACCTCAGGTTCACACCCTGTGTATCCAGACTCTAGCATAACCAGTGCGGTTCTGCATGTCCTACCTGTCTTCCTTTCTAATCTCTCATCTCTCGATAACCCCCTCTTCCTTCTCCCTGATTCAGCCTTCATCCTATCACCCAAACTAGAAACCTGGCTCATTTGTGAACCCCCCCTTACTTCCCCAGCTACTGACCTTCCTACTGTTTACGCTGACCGTGTGCACATCTTTTTCTACACCTTCACTGCCTCTCTCATCTCCCAACAGCAAAGTCAACACAAACCCAGGAATTACTACGTGCTGACACTCAGCGCTGAGTGCTTTGCACACAGTCAATCCTCATAGCCACTCTATGCACAGGCGGTCACGGTTCTCCCCTCACAGATGAGGAAACTTGCACAAGGGCACACCGCTATAAGAGCAGAGCCAGGACCTGGATACAGGTCTGTTTCCAAACTCCATGATGTTAACCTCTGTGCTGTCTGAAACCTCTTTAGGCCTCTAGCTGGACCACTGTAACCACATTTGCCTCCAGCTTGGGCTTCTCAATGAATGACTCCAGACTGAGCCTGCTGCATCACACCTAATCACATCCACATTCTAGGGTAGCCTCAGAGATCTTGCTTGGCCTCACCTCTGTCTTCTTTATCTATTGGTACCCAGCTCCCTGCCATGCCCCAAGCCCAAGCCACCCTGGAGCACTGCAGGCCCTTTTTGTGCCTCAGTGCCTTTGCACATGCGATTTCTGATACCCAAAGTCTCTTTTCTGGCAAAATCCTATTCATGCCTGAAAGTCCAACTGAAATCTCCAGTATCATCTCTGTAACATACCTAGCTGTCCAACCTACATTTTAACTTTTAGTTAACTCATCAGATTCAGGACCTAGCATAAGAGCAAGCCCTGAAGGGGGTGCAATAAATGTTGCAGAATTGATTTAAGGTGTCTGTACGAATTTGTTACGTCACAAATTTGGGAAAGGGGAAAAGCTGCTGCTTTCTGGTTGTTGGGTTTTGGCACATTTTTAACGCTGGCCCATGTCTTCATGGGAGAGAAGGTCCTGAGAAAAAAGCCCCAATTTCAGAGGGGATCTGAGGCCCCATTATTAAAAATCTGGGAGACCCAGGGCCCTGAGAGGCAAACATCTCTGCTCGTTGGTACAGAGAAGAGCGCAAAGCACAAAGGAGGCGCTCATTAAATATTTGCTGAAGCAGATCGCTTTTGCTTTCTGTAAGAGCTCCAAGCATCAACCAGGCACAACTGGAGTGATTTTGGCGGTTATCTGCAGTTTGGATAATTCATGAGTCGTTTCCTGGGCACAAAGCCACTGCTCTTTCAGTGAGCCCAGAACCTCTGGGCAAGAAGAACCCACTGAAGCTGCGGCCTTAACCCCAAGGTGTGCATGCGTGCCCGGGCACACACACGTTCAAGCACCGCGCAGGACCCAGGNACTCACCATCCAAATATCTTCTTATCCACCAATCCATCCCTCCCTCCACCCTTCACACACACACACACACACACACACACACACACACACACACACACACACACAGTCCTGGGGTTGTTGAGATACACAAATTAACAAATTAGACTGGCATAGAGGGAAGGTTACAATGCAGTCAACTGCTTCTCGCAGTGACCCCAGCCTCTGAGCAGGCAACCCCTTGTAGTTCCGTTCTGAACACCCTCTAATTTTCCTCCCTGCTTCCAGCCATGGGGCTCTCACCTGCCAGCTGCTGGGGCGTCAGGGGTAGCAGGCTCTTATCTGCAAAGCTGCCTTAGAGAAAGAGGTTTGAAAGACCTTTGCACCTGGTGCAGAGAGAAGCCAGCGCCAGGCAGGCCTTACCCCAAACCCAGCATGCCAGGCCTGGCCTCCAGTCCCTGCCCTCACCTCTGAGACCCAGCACCAGGGCCTGACTGCACTGAATGGGTAGCTGAGAGGCTCTTGAACTCCTTGGCCCTCTGTGAGGTCTGCTCAGCCCCTGTGGCCATGGCCGCCGCTGGCTCCATCTGGGTCAGCAGGGAAGCAGGCTGCTGCAGCCTCCCCTTCTGTGTCCTGCCGGCCCGATACGCTTCTGGATCTCGAGGGAGCAGTCTTTGAGGCTTCTGGGAAGGCCTTGGAGGCAGGGAGAAGACACTCCCCTCTCGAGTGCTGAGACACCAGGGGACCCAGGACCAGGCCTGTGGGTACACAGCTCCACTTCCCCCCAGGACCCCCTCCCCACCCATGCAGGCTGCACCCACAGTCATCTATCCAGGGGATTCTTGGGGACAGTAGCTTGTAGTAGTAGTGGATCCTCCCCCAGCCCTAGTCACCTGTACGTTCTCTGTGCTGCCGCCGCCAGGAGTCTCTTGGTCTTCTGCCCTCTGCTGCCTGAAAGGCAGAGTCACAGACTCTGAGGCTGGTCCAGCGCCCTAGGCCCGAAGCTCCCAGGGTGGCTTTGGGGTGGATTTTAACATCTTTTGGCAGAGGCGCACTCTCTCCCTCATCACAGTCCTGTTCCCCGCTGCTGGGGAAACTGCTACTTTATTCTTTTGGGTTTCCACCTCCCCTAAGGCAGCGGTTCTCAACCTTTCACAGGGGTCGCCTAAGACCATGGGAAAACACATATTTTCGATGGTCTTAGGAACCGAGACACCGCTCCTCTATCCGTCTCCAGGCCCACATGCAGATACGCCCACATACGAGTACTCGGCGACCCCTGTGAAAGGGTCGTTTGACCTCCAAAGGGGTCGCCACCCACAGGTTGAGAACCGCTGCCCTAAGGCATCTGAATATGTGACTGTACTCTGGAAGTTAACACAGGAGGCAGAGGCCCAGGAGAGAAAGAAGCAAGCCCAAGGCCTGAAGTCAGGGCACGTGAGGGTGGGGTCCAGCCCAAGGCAGGGCTGTGGCCTATCTTACCCCAGCTCCCCTGGGAGGGAAGGATTTCCTTCTCTAAACAATGCAAATCCACAAACCACATTTAAAAAATAATTCCAGGAAGATGCATCCCAACGGCTGAATGACACCTCTGGCCCAGCCTCTCCCAGACACTCACCTCGGCATCTCCTACTCTTATTTTCCTTCCAGCTTCCTGCCCCCTTCTCCTCTGGCCCCCAGCCCATACTTAGCTGCTCACTCCTTCCTAATCCCACGCCCCCAGACCCCAGACCCTGGGTACCCCCTTCGCTGTCCTCAGTCCAGGCGGGGCAGGCTCTTAAGGGTATGCAAGGCTGGGCTTTCACTTGACAGGGAGCCTCGGCCCAGAGGGGGTCTTGAGGTCAACCAGGGCCCAAGTCATGGCACTTTCTCCCCTTCTCTCTCCCTGACTCTCCTCTTCACACCCATGTCCATCCCAACACCCAGAAATCCCTTCCCTTCTTTGCTGCCATCTCTCCTCGTTCGGAACCTTCCCCACATTGCCTCTCTCCCCCTGATGTGGGGAGGCTTGTGCATTTGTGTGCATGTTCAGTTCATGCCTGTGTTGATGTGTGTTTGTGTGCATGGCACGTGTGGAACTTGCTTCCTCTATCTGTGTGTGGATGTGTTGTTATGTGAGTGCCTATCTGTGTGGGGATGTGTTATGTGAATGCTGGTTAGCTGATG